TCTATCTATCTATCTATCTATCTATCTATCTATCTATCTATCTATCTTATTCTTTTATAGGTAAGATGAAATTGAAGTGTGTCCGATTGGAGTGATTGGGGTTTTGATTGGGTCTTATACACACACACACACACACTAACTCATTTGCCCAGACACACACCTTTGAGCTTCTGTGCAGTTGCTGTACAAAATTGGAAATATATCCTGTTTGGAATTACTACCATTGTCCTGGCTGCCTTCGGTTTTTTCTGCCTGTTTGTGTGTGTCTGGTTCTTGTGTCTATGTGCTTCTACAGGTTCTCCTCCGGGTTTTTGTTAGTTTGTGTGTGTTTACCCATAGTGTTTGTTTGTAGGTTCTCCCTCGGGTTTTCCCTCAGTGACTACTGGACATCTTTCTACAAATGCAGAAGCTGAATGGATGGTTTTGTTGTCTTTTTTTTTCCCCTTTCCTCCTGTTTTAAGGATCTCTCTTCTTTTCGGCGCGGGTTATTGTTACCTTTTCTCTATCCTCTCATCCTTTTTTAATTTCGTCTTTTGTTCCTTTTTTCTCTCTTTACCTGTCCCCCCTGTCAGGTTTGGCATTAACCATTTTCCTTCTGTAACAAAAATAAGTCTTAAATAAATAATAAAGCAGTATTGGATGATCAAGTGAGGCTTCTCACCCTGACAGGCCTCCCTTTACAAAGCAAAACTCAAATTTACAATTCTGTTGCCATAATGCTAAACACGACGAGGGGTTGAAAAAAAAAAAGATGAAACTGAAGTGGTTTTATTTTTCTTATCGTCCATCAAGCCTTCTTTGAGAGAGGAAAAAAACCCTGAAGCAGACACATATTTTTCTTCATGCATCATTGGAAATTTTTCATTTGAACTCTTTCCATTTGTTGTTTACATGCTGTGAAAGCAAATTGATAGAGTGACAAACGACTGACTGCAAGCTTGGGAATTACGGAGAACAGTCTTAAAAGTGGAGGATAATAGGAGCAGCTGCGGGTCAAATACTGCGCACCAGGTTTAATCTCTTTAATTAAACAGGATGGAATGAGAGAAAAAGGAAGGACAGACGCAGGCCTGGGATAGGGGTCTGTAACACATTTTCTGCATATTTTGTACCTCATAAAGTGTCCAAACAACAGCTTTCTAATGCTGTTATTCATGTATGTAAGTTGTGTTTTTGTGTATAATATATCAATTATTTCATAACATTCTTTTCTCTTTTTCTTAATTTGATAATGATGTTGAAGAAGAAATGATGATGATAATTGTGATGATCATTATTGTTAGCGGAAATGTTTTAATTTAGCCTATGTATTATTTCTCAATATTTACTCTGTGATATACAGTACATTATCCATACAAATGTTTTACCTTGTTTCAAATCCTCAGCCAAAGAATCTCAATGTCCTGATATGCCCTTTATCACATGGTAAAAATGGAAAAAAAATCTGAGCAATTGATGTCAGAAATTGGTGGATATAGGAAGGCCATTATCCCACTGGGGTACATTTTTACTTCTGAAATATTGAGATTTCATTCTCAGTCCAAATAAGAATAACTTTTTAAATGTTGTTCAAGAAGTCCACCTTAATTGATAGCTTCTGTTTGTAAGAAATAATTCATTTTTTTCCTCATTCAACTAAATAGCAGCGACCGTACCTGCTTCACACAACTACGGTACGGCTCCAGAGTTTATTGACTTTTTTTTTTCTCCACAGGGAATCTTTTTCACTATCTACGGACACATTTTCATTCCAATGAAAAGAGCACAGCGCTTCTTCGAAAAACTCTCTGCAGCCTTCGATTTAATTGCTTTAAATTGTTCCGTCAATTCCAACTGATCAGTACGACTCTGTCACAAGCACACGCCTTGGCACACCTCAATGCGCAGAAAAAAACTCTTCTTTAAGTTCAGAATTTGTCCTCAAATAATCCTCTAGTCAGGGTTAGTCAAGTGTCTGCGGTCGTCAAAAACTGTCTTTATTTTTAGTGCATTGGGATGAAAACATTCATGATGAATTGTGCAGGAGTGCACACAATGGGATTACATCACTAAGCTGCATCCATTTAATCTATGTGACCTCTGACAGGAAACCAAAGTGAAAGCACATGTTTACTCTCATATGGTATTTTCCCTGCTTTATGTGGGGAAAAAATAATAATTGTCAGTTTAATATAAGCACGAAGCAATGTGTCTACGGGAAGACAAAAACATTTTTATTTAGAAGACAGAATTTACACATGCTTCTTATGTGAATAATGCTCCTTTATTGTAATGTTAATGTATTGGAATGCTTTTTGTTTTTTGTTCTCTGGGCAAGTTTGGGCCACCGGTTAGCACAACTCGTAGGGTTGAGTCTATTTGTGTTTACGTAACGGGAAGTATTGTTTTTCTTCTGAATCACGCAAAAGCATGGTGTGTGCCCCCCCTAACTCATGGCCATCCACTATTTTGGTTCACATTGTACATAGAAGGTGGTATACAGTAGATGGCTTATTTGATTTAAGGGGATAGATTATAATTGCAAAGGAAATCATTTTCATAATTTGTATCATTCAGTTTCACAATTTTTTTTATCAAATCCTGTTCAAGTACATGTGCCTGATCCTTAAATCCTCGTCTTGTGCCAGTGTGTTTGGTCTTATGACCTAAACTGCGCGTTAACTTTGTCTTGACCCAAGCCTTGTCCTGACCCCTTCTTATCCGTTCCTCGTCGAAATGAGTAATTTTTGTAAAGTAGTACCCTTCGTAATACCCTTCGCATCGTATTTTGTACTTGTTGGCCTTTTGTCATCCTCCTTTTTCGGAGCGAATATTGTTTAGATACTTGTCCTCAGTTTTTGATTTACCTTGAAAGAGAGATTATTATTGGATACTTTGTTTATAGCCTTGTCTGCCTTGTTTTCAGGATGAATATTAGTTTGTACCTTGCATTGCCCTTCCACTCCCTGCGAGTGCGCCTTTATTTCAATTAACGTTTTTTCCTCGAGATCTCCGCATCTGAATCCTGCCTTGAGTATCTTTGTGACAAAAGAGAGTGATGCAAGAAATAGTCTAGCTGGCTCAATATTGTACGGATAGTCACTTTGGGTGCAACAGAACCGTGAAATCAGAACAATCTACAAGGGACTACAAGCGGCAGTTTTACTTATCAATGGAGAAATCTGAGGCTCGAGGTCCAAACAACAAGGAAACAAGATCCACACGTTCAATAAAGTTCACAAAATCTTAAGGAAAACTTATTGTTAGATGTTCAAGCAGATCGTCAGCATCAACCCAAGAGATTATGGAAGCAGAATCGGCAAAAGCCATATAAGCCTACACTGAAAAGGATATGAGCATTGAATATGAAAAGGCCCATCTTGAAGCATCTATCAATGTACTCCAGCTCCAAAGGAAATGTGATACAGCTTTGGCTAAGGCAGAGGTGACGGAGTCAGCAGCAGCTGAAATGTTGTAATACCTGAATATTGGACATCTTTTTACAGATTTACAAAGGTATTTGGAAGCTAAGCAACCACTCCAAAAGACGTAATTCCACAAATGCAGGGATTAAGACCCAATTATAATCCTGACAGCCCAACAAGTGACCTAGCCAGATTATACAAGAGTCAGCTAGTAACAGGAGGGCTGACAAAATCTGATGATAAACCAGAGAGTTACCTTAACTGGAAATCCATTGGAAAGTATATCAAGGACCTTGTTCTTACAGCCAGACAAGAGGTGACTCTTCTCATTAAGTGCCTAGGTCCTGAGTCTTCATTACTTGCCAAGAGACTAAAAGCTATCACAATAAGATATTCACCTCCTGGTCTGACCATGATATGGTTGAGACTGTAAGAATATCATTGCTCAAAAGAAGGAACAGAATAGTCAATTTGCCAGAATTCAAAACTTTTCAAGGCTCTCCAGCAAAAAAGCTCACAAGCTTTGTGACTTGTCAGATTTTCTGTGTAAACTCCAAGTTGCCATGAGAAATGGATATTTGCCTGGTTTGCCCCGACATGGCCAATGAGGAGTAGCTGCCCTTCCACCTTCAATAAAAAATACACAGAGATTGTGTGGTTTGAATAAGACCACATTATTAGCTTTCCACTATATTCTCAGTGTTTGGATAGTTTGAGAAAGGTCAAGCAAAAGCGAGGAATGACCAAAGTTTCACAGCAATGTTTAACACGACAATTGTCAATCACTCGTCTATTTACAGACTTAGTAAACCAACAGGTGACTACAACTGCAGGTTATCATTTACAGTGCACAAGACGGATGTTCCATCAGAGGTCAAGGAAAAAAAGCAGCAGGTGAAGTCATTACAAGAGATGTAGGGGGCTTCAGAACTATGCTAGTTGAAAATGGGAAAAGTTGGTCAAAGACAGATGTTCCATCAGAGGTCAAGGAAAAAAGCAGCAGGTGAAGTCATTACAAGAGATGTAGGGGGCTTCAGAACTATGCCAGTTGAAAATGGGAAAAGTAGGTCAAAGACGTCTGTTATTGCTGGCTTGCTTCCACCAGCCATCAAGGCAAAGACGGTAGAGTCATGATTAAGTGAAAAGAGTGTTACGGTTGAAAGATTTTCTTGGTGGAAGACTATCCATTTGTTTAGCGAGACGGCATCAAAAGAATGTAGACGATATTCGACTATCAAAGTAATCAATCACTTGCAAAGACAAAGTTTTATACACCTCTGCTATACATAGCCCAACTAAGCTATGCAGACTGAAAACTTTGTAACAGTATTACACAAGTGACTGCTCGAGGAGCATGTGACTACATAATTGAGTCGTTTACTGGAAAAAGTTGCTCTCCTCTCCCCACTCTCATAGAATGCAATGCAATGCAATCCCTAACAATTTATCCGAGCACCATTTGAAAGTAATAGCTGATGAAATATTGTCTCTCAATACAATACCTTCTGAGTTTGTATGTATGTGTACATTTATAATATACATATATGTGTGTGTGTGCGGTGTATGTGTATGCATCTAGTGATGTATATGCTCCCAGAATGCAGGGTTACCTGTGGTTCCTTGAGTTCTCAAAAGTAGAATGGGAGCCAGAGCATTCAGCCATCAGAGTTGTCTCCTGTGGAACCAGGTTCCAGTTTGGGTCCGGGAGGCAGACACCGTCTCTACAGTCTATAGCAACACTACCTTTATTTGTCTGTCCATCTATATATTACTGTGTAGGCTGCCTCCCTCTGCTCCCACTGCCCTCTCTGTTCTTCTCTCCTTCTCTGTCTCTCTCTCAAACAGATCAAGGTAGATGGCCACCCACCCTGAGCCATGTTTCTGCTCGAGGTTTCTGCCTGTTAAAATGAAGTTTTTCCTTGCCTGTGTCGCCTAGTGCTTGCTCTTGGTGGGAATTGTTGGGCTCCTGTAAATAACTTTAGAGTAGGGTTTGCCTTGCTGTTTGGAAAGTGCTGCACTGTTGTCGTGATTTGGCGCTGTATAGATAAAATCTAATTTAATTTAATTGTAATGCAGTGAAAAGTGTAATGTGCCAAAGAGCTTCAGACATCCACAAGATTAGATCATTGTGCAAAGACTACTGCTAGTAGAAACATACATTATTATGAAATTGATGCCAAAATCACATAAAATGTATTACTCAAAGTGATGACTTATTGGAAGAGTTTACTAACTTAGGATTTGACAGACTTTAGATCCGTCTTTTGAACCCACAACCAAGGTACCCCCAAGTGATATTTCAAGAATGACTGCAGGCTGTGGTTGTTTTCACTGTGCAAGACCAATAGGCAAAAGCTGTCGCAGAATAGCTCTTCTATGTTCACTGAATTGAACAAAGGTTTCATTTTATTCCTTGTGACGTCCATGTTCAGTTTAGCTCCAAGGGCAGCTGTAGCTCAGGAGGGTCGGTGGTTTGACTCACGGCTTCCCCAAGCAACACGTGAAAGCGTTCTCTGGTAAGATACTGAATCTTTATGGATATATATGACATTATACTCTATGGAAGAAAATAGTTTCAGGTTATTGTTAAAAAAAATCAATGATGTTAGGCACTATCCACCACATCCTCACAGCAAGAGGGTTCTGGGTTCGAGTCCCCGCAGGAACCAGACCCTTTCTGTGTGGAGTTTGCGTCTGTGTGGGTTCTCTGGCTTCCTCCCACCGTCCAAAAACCTGCATGTTAGGTTGATTGGACATTCCAAATTGCCCTTAGAAGTGAGTGTGTGTGGTAGACTGGCGATAGACTGGCGGACCCCATCTCTTGCCCATTGACTACTGGGATAGTCTCCCTGCGACCCCATTAGGGAATAAGTGGTTACAAAAATGGATGGATGGAAAATGTCCATGTTTTGAAGAAACTCCGCCCTCAGAACTTAAACCCCACTACCGCTACAATCGTCAAATAAACCGAAAAGGTTTTCATCTGAAAACATTTACAGAGCTCTCTTTGCTCTCCTTTGAAGAAGCTGTATTTGACCCTTGACAGAATTTTCTGAAGACTTATTAAGATGGATGGGACAGACTTTGATAAAAATAAAAGTTGGTTTAAACATTAGGGGTGGGACGGTTCACAAAATCCACCGTTCGGTTCGATTCACGGTTTCGTGGTCACGGTTTTCGGTTCGGTTCGGTATATGTTGATTGTTAAGAAAATCTATTATGTCTTGTATAGTCAGGTTAAAACTGAAAGAAAAAAGCAGTCTGACATTTGATACATTATTGTGACAGTCTTAGGTTAAAAGTAGGTGAGATTCTGGCATTGCAAGAGAGGAAACAGTGCTAATTCCAACATGTGCTTCACTCTAAATGCAAAGTGGTCCATACAGCAGACCTATAAACTGCTGTTGGCGGTCTGATTTTTATCGGCTACGCTGCTTCGCTTCTTCTTCTTGTTTCCTACTGGTGGTTGGCTTTGGGCGCAGTAGCGCCCCCTTCTGCTCTGGAGTGTAAACGCTTCCCTCTGAGAAAAAGAACACACGCGAACAGAACCGAGACAGTCGAACCGAACGGGTCAGATGGTTTTCAGAAACCGTCCCATCCCTATTAAACATGTTCTAACAGCTGTTAACAGTCCACTCGTCAATGCCTCTGCAATGTCAGCAGACCCCTGCCCCCCATTTCGCTGCGATCTCACAGCACAAGTGAATTTACTAAACATCAGAATTCTACAAATTCAAACCAGACACAAGCATCTACCAGAGATGTTAAAAAAAAAAGGCTGCAGCAGGATGTTCACAAAGGGTTTTTATAATAGGGTCACTATAATATGGTGGCTAGATTCACTCTACAGGACTCATAAAGTAAGCGTCCGTTTAAGGGTACAGCCATCATTCTTAATGGTCATCATTATTACAAGAGTACACGGATTGGATTGTCTGAATAGAGCAATAGTAAGGTTGCTTGTTTATTTAATTGGCTGTAAATCTAATACAAATTCTTAAAGTAATAATTTAATGGCAGTCATTCAGAATCATCTTAAACTTCATGAACAACACTTATAAAGCTTGTATGGACATGACTGATGGGAACCTGTGGTATACATAGGCAATTGTATGCATACAAAGCTGGATAAACAGGCTAGATGTATCATCAAATGTAACTTTACATAAGGAGTTTGTTATTTTCAAACTAGATTTTATCCAGACAAACCTCTTAAAACTTTTATTCTTAAAAATGTAATTGTCCTACGTATAGGTCCTATACGTGTTTCATCTTGAAACAATGCTGCTTAAATGTTTCATTCACCAAATCGTACCGAGCAACAGTAATTTGGTTTGTCACACTGTAACAGCATTCCAATTTAAACTCGGCCAATTGGAAACTTTGACAATGAAAGACAATGAAATGACAACTTTCTAACGAAAGTTTTACTCTTATGTACATGCAAGTATAGAATAATTAAGTAATATTTTTATTATTACTTTGCCTTGGCAGTCTTTAATGTAATTTATACAACTCAAAGTTCCTGGAAACATTCACTTAACGTCATCTTTGGATGTTGTCTGAATGTTAATTGTTAGCTGAGAAGCCACTACACAAAAAAGGATGATGTAACAGATCTTTTGTTGAATTGAAATGTAAAATCAATATTCTTTTCAATTAATAGAATGCTTATTGTGTCACCTAGACCAAGTTATAGCATCTCTCTCCTTCAAGTTCAGGGTTCATAGCCTACTCCACAATAGAAGCTCAGAAAGCTCAGAAAGCTTAGAAAAGGGACATAAAGGGACATAAACTGAAAACATCTACATGTACATTTACAATCACATTATCCTAATAACCTTGAGGCCATTCATTCTAAGGGAATTTCCATAGTATAACATATTGAAAACCTTCATAGTGTTATATTTGGTTCATATTTGATCGGACCCCGTGAAGTGAATTTTTCATAATGCAAAATTACCAAATGGATTTCTTTTTAATTTAACCTAGGTTGAATGTTTCGTATTAAATTTCATGTATGGTGACATGTTTTCATGGAAAAAGTCAAATTCAGCTTTATTGTCAATTGTACCATAAATACATAGACATATTGAGCAACTGATAATATATGACTCTCGGTCTCCTGGGCAACACAGAATTAGCAATGGTAGAAAAAAACGTATTGGCTTATAACTAGTCCTAAATGAAGACAAATATACATCATAAATTATAACTTGTGCGGCAGAAAGAGGTTCAGGTGCCGTATATTACCGTGATCACGCTTGGAAGGAGGCTTTCAATCGTCCACCTGTAAAATGCACACATGACATGCTTTGGATAAAAGCGTCTGCTAAATGCATGAAAATAAACATCATCATGGTGGTGGTGGTGGTGGGGGGGGGCTCTAGATCTTCTCAGTCGACCCCTCTTGGCCAATGATGATGTTGGTGGTCCAGGAGAGATGTGCTCTCTCAGATCTCAGATGTCTCAGATGGTGTGTATTCACCACAATATTCACATCCAAACTGAATCCCTCTGTCTGACTCCATAAAGGCAGCAAGAAATTTGGGTATCATGATTGATGACCACATTTGAAGATCAAGTTGCCTCTGTTTCTCGATCCTGTCACTTCGCATTACTAAACATAAGAAAGATCCGGCCATATCTAACACGACATGCTACCCAGCTCCTGGTGCAGTCTATGGTCATCTCCCGCCTTGACTATTGCAACGCGCTCCTGACTGGTCTCCCAGCCTGTACGGTAAAACCTTTACAAATAATCCAGAATGCGGCGGCGCGTCTGGTATTCAATCATCCCAAAAAATCTCTCGTAACCCCTCTGTTCATTGAACTCCACTGGTTACCTCTGGCTGCCCGTATCAAATTCAAGTCCCTGATGCTAGCCTACAAAGTGCCTAAGGGTATGGCTCCCATCT